TGATATATACCCTCTGTAGCCACATGGCTGAGTGTATAATAATTGAGCCTCAGATTCGATATTTTTAAATCTTCGTTTCCTCATGCATCGCTGCATCAAAATTTTGGCTGGACTAATCTATTTTGTTTATTCAAACTAATGCAAACTTACCTTCCTTGTACGTATTATGAACAATTGCGATTTTTTCATGAGTGTTTTCTGTTGTTATTTTTGTTGTCAAACTAAACGGCTATCACATAACTTCTTCACATAATATGCTGAGTTCATAGCGCAAAATCATCTGTCCCGTAGAAAGGTATAAAAGCAATTGAGTTCAAAGAAAGTGCAATTATTCACTTGCGGCGACACTTCAAGTGCGGAACGTCACACACCACTTCTCCCAATACCCAACAAAAAAAACCACACAACAATGAAGGTAGGTTGGTTGGTTGTCCCAGTTTTCAATATTTCGCAACATAACCCATTTTATGATCTCTCTCTCTCTTTTAGGTCATTTTCATAATTCTCTTGGCTACAAGTGCCCTGGCTAAGCCACCTTCGTCATCTGGTCCAAAAATCAAAGGTGGCATTGGTGATGGTTATATTTATCCAGTAAAACCCAAACCGAAATCCACAATGACGTACTATGCCAAACCTTTACACCCTCTGCCGCCGTTGCCACCATCAAAACCCAAAGCGAAACCTCAAATCTTCAAAGTCATCATCCAAGACCATGGGTCAGCCAAACCCAAGAAACAAGAACAAATTTTCAAAATTGTTCATCTACCCAGCCATGGAGATGGCGCCCAAGGTGGTGGTGGTGGTGGTGGCGGTGCTGCCGGCAGTCATTCCCATGGAGGAGGTCCACAACAATCTGTGAAAATTTTGAAAATTATTCAAGTGAAACAGGGTGCTGGCGGTGGTGGTGGCGGAAAATCGGGACATTGGTCCTAATTTTTTTTATTAGTTGTTGTTTGTGTATTAAGTGTTATTTTAAGTGAAAATTGTGTGTTTTTTAACTACTCTGCGAAATATAATTATAACAAGAAAATTCTGGTGCGGTCTTATATGAATGATTGTAAAAATTAAATAAGCATTACACTGTGCGACATATTCCAATTTTTCAATAATTATGGGGAAAAAGACTCGTGTATCGGCGTTTTGAAAGTTTGCATCGAAAAGTAACCAAAATAGAGTGGGGAAAGTCCCCCCACCTTCCACACATTTGAAAAATTTCGTATTAAGATTCCTCGGAATCCGTGCATTTCAGATATATAGTGTCTTCGGTAGTGTTACAGATAAAAATACGAGGAATATTTTCGTGGGAAATCTTAACCCTTATGTGAGTCAACAAAGGTGACATTTGGGTCTACTTCAAAATATGGCTTAAAACTTCCTTTAGACGATATCGTTGCAAGTCAAAATATTCTGCAAAATTAACTGTCATAAAATTTTACTGTAGGTCCGAGAAGACATCAAGAATCTAAATCTTACCTTAACACTAGGAATTCACAGATATAAAAACACGTTATAAAGTTACAGCCGTTCTTTATGTGAGGTTATGCACAGCTCTCCTACAAAGCATAATTTTCGAAGATGACATACAATTTCACTCTATGTTCTCAAAAAAAGGAATTTTAATTTCCATTATATACCACGAAAATATTTGCACCAATGCACTAGGGGGCGATGGCATGTTTCTGAGGCAAAAAATAATTTTTAAAGTTAGCCGTTTGAATAAAAAATGAATGGAATTATGTTAATAAAACTTTAAAAACCTCGAAAATATACAATCTGACAACAACTCAGGCTCTTATACCGAGTTGTCAAAGATGCCATATTTTCTTTTCATCATTTTCGGACATTTCAACTTAATCAAACCTCATACAGGATGAGATAAAAAACTGCAACAAAGTCAAACGCCACAATTTTTATATTTCTTTTTTAAATTTTATTGAATGAAAGCAAAGAATGTCAGAAATATTACCAAGTTTTAGAATAAGTTTAGATTTGTTCGAAATGGTCAACTTTGGTACGAATTATAGCCTTCAAACGGTCAATGAAACCGTCACACGCTGCCCGAATGTTGCTCTGCAGTATTTTGGCCGCCAATTTTTTTTTTTTTTTTTTTTTTGAAATTCTTCAATGGCGAAGGGTATTAAAAGATCGGCCCGGCCGAAGTTAGCTTTTTTTAATTGTTTATGAAAAACTTGTACTTTTGTGGGGGGAATTGGTACCAAAAATAGTTTACCGCTACATTTCGCAAGAATATTGGGTTCAGTGGCGTTTGAATAAAAATCACTTTAAGAGAGTAATGATTCTTCCAAAGTTTTACCTTTCATGGAGAAGCCATAAGAGGAAGTGAGCAAGTATTGCCCATTTTCGCACTTGAACAAACTGTACCGGGAAGCGTGATATCTTTATATTTTGCTGGAAAACCACAAGTGGCTATCGTTGGAGCACTCCAGCATTTAAATATGAATAAATCTTTTGTGTCTCGTACCATCGCACGTTACCGTGATACTGGTAGCGTAGCCCGACGTCAAGGAGACGGACGGAAGAAAACAGCAACATCAGCAGAAATGGTTCGAAAAGTAAAGAAGCGACTTGATCGAAACCCGCGTCGCAGTGGTCGAAAAATGGCTCGTGAGCTGAACATATCGCAATATTCCATTCGGCAAATATTGAAAAATGAGCTCGGGGTGAAGGCATTGAAATTCCAAAAAGTGCAAGAATTTACATCGCAACAGAAAGAAAATAGACTCAAAAGAGTTAAAGAGTTGTTTCGCTTGGCCGAAAGTGGTGAACTGCCAAAACTGGTTTTCTTCGATGAGAAAACATACTTGCAAAGATGTCAGCTGAAAATGTGCACCTTCGGTTGGCCACCACAACTCAAGCGCCGGCCATGGTGATAGTATGAGCCGCCTTAGCAGCCAATGGTTGTTCTCCGCTCGTATTAATCGACCGTGGCATCAGAATAAATGCCGAATAATATGGCGAAAATATTTTGGAGGGTGTATTAAAGCCTTGGGCACGCAAACATTTTGGCCGCAGACTTTGGACATTCCAACAGGACTCAGCACCATCGCACTCAGCACGCGCCAGCCAAAAATGGTTACAAAATGAGGTTCCTCGCTTCATTTCCAGCGCACAATGGCCACCAAAATCTCCGGATACCAATCCGTTGGACTATTATGTCTGGAGTACTTTGGAAAGCAAAGTTGGCACTAAAAAATACCAAAGTGTCGATCACCTCAAGCAAGAGCTTCGCCGGGAATGGACCAAAATACCGCAGAGCAACATTCGGGCAGCGTGTGACAGTTTCATTGGCCGTTTGAAGGCCATAATTCGTGCCAAACGTGACCAATTCGAACAAGTCTAAACTTATTCTAAAATTTAATGCTGTTTCCGACATTTTTCGCTTTCATTTAATAAAGTTTAAGAAAAAATGTAAAAACTACGACTCACCCTGTAATGCATTTAGAAATGCGTACGTTACTAAATGATACGAAATCACGATACAACCCACATTAGTTTATATGGTGTCTAAGATGTTTGGTATTGAATATGAGGTGTATATCGATCCCTTTTTCGTATAGAACCATGCAACGGCACCTCTACATAATCGATTTTTATACCCCCCACCATAGTACGGAATGTATTTGTCAATCCGTTTGTGACACATCCAAATTTAAATTTTAGACCCCATAAAGGATATATATTCTTGATCAGCATAAAATTCTATGTAGATTTAGCGATGTCCATCCGTCTGTCTGTATGTCCGTCTGTGGAAATCAACCTAAATTCTGAACAAAATGAAGTAGGTTGAAAAAAATTTTACTCAGATGTGTGTGTTAGGCCTGCAGGATTTTTGGTATCGAAAATGGGCTATATATGTCCACGTTTTTGTAAAGCTCCCATATAACTGTACCTACGGATTTAAGAGTTTTTGGGTATCACAATTTTAGTAGTAGTCACAATTTTATTCCGAATTTGCTGTAAATTAGCAGAATGGGAACACATGCAAAAAAACATCCTTGCATAAAACCGCCAATATAGGTCTATGTTTTGGTATAGTCCCTATATAACTGTGCCTCTAGATATTCGGTATTTTTATAATTTGTGTTACGCATTTCACCGTAAATGTTTTTAAATTTGTTATTTAAAATTTCTAATCGGTACTACAGCAAATGACAGTAAATTGTCTGTGCGGGTCCATATCTTCGTATAGCCTCCACGTAACGGTACCTCTCTATATTCGGTATCATCAAAATACCGAATATAGGGAGGTACCGTTAGCTACATTTTCCATCGGAATTGTTTCAAGTTTCGTAACGGCCTAGACAAAAATTGCATATGCAGGTCGATATATTCGGTATTTTAATGACTTTAGCAGTATTTTTAAACATTTTTTTTTTTTTTTTTGAAAATTTACAGATTTCTTCCAAATATGGTGTACATTGAAAGTTCGGCTTTCAGTTTTACTTGTTTGTGTAAATTTTGAACTTTTGTTATGGGATTGCATACTATTTTAACACTAGCCCAGTATTAAGATATCACTTTAAGATAGTTATTACTTTTTAAAATGTTGATCTTTTGTGGAGAAGCTACAGGGAGTGGGAGAAAAGGAGGTACTAGAAGGAATGTGCTGACATTGCCCATCTCCGAACTAGATCTTAATTTTGGTGACAGTATTACTTGCCGGTTAGACAGAAGGACCTCAAATTTTCTGAAGCGGATTTCTACCTATGACCTAACAACATTATTTTGATGAAGGACATTTTAGTCCCTCTGTAGCCAAAAGACCGAGGATATATTTAATGTTAGAAATGTATTATTGAGGATAACCTCAATAAAAAATTTAAAAAAAAATGAATTTTAATTAATTTATAATTTTCATTTTATTTTTTTTAATTAATTTATAAATAACAGATATCACTTACACTTGAGATAATGCTAATATTTAGGGTCTGAGACTGGATGGGCTAGAAACCCTCAAGTTCTTAAATAAAATTTAAATATTATTTCCAACTATTTGATGAGGCTTCTGGTGGCAAATACGCATTGGATGGTGTTTGAGCTTGATGTATAACCTTGACAGTTTTAACAACATGTCCAGTTGAGGTTGGAACAGCAGCGTTAGCATGACCATTGTTATCAGATGACGATTGATGAATCACCTTAACGGTTTTAACATCATTATGTTGGCTTAGAGAGGGAGCGGCATTGGAGTGTAGAACTTTGATGGTCTTCACATCATGATGACCACTGTCATGAGAGTGATCATGAGCTCCGCCAAAGCTGCCATGAGAATGGCCAACATTTTGATGGATTACTTTCACTGTCTTAACTTCTTGATGGTGATGATGAGCTGGAGAGTGATCAAGATGACCAGCATTCTGATGAATAACCTTTAGGGTCTTAACCTTCTGGGTATTTCCGCCTCCGTATCCATGGCCATGAGAATGATCGTTAGCCTTATGAATTACTTTCAAGGTCTTAACTTCCTGATGGCTAGCATGGGCATGGGAGTGGTCATGGTGGTTTTCATGAATAACTTTAACTGTTTTCACCTGATGATTTCCCGCAAGATGGTGATCAGGAGCATGAGAATGGACTGTACCTTCATGAATAACTTTTACAATTTTTACCGACTGCTGGCCAACATCGGAATGATGATGATGAGCACCAGAATGTTTTTGATCACCATGTTCATGAATTAGTTTAATGGTTTCCAAATGCTCTGGATGCGAGATCGGAGCCACATTATGATCATGACTGGCTTGTTCGTGTATTAGTTTTATGGTTTTCACATCCTGATGGCCACCGGAATGATGATGATGATGGTTGTTTTCTCCATGTCCAGCTTCGGTTTGATGAATTACTTTAATTGTCTTAACTTCTTGATGATCCCCATGTCCAACTGATTCCTGATGATGTCCAGCACCTCCTTCACTGCCACCCGACAAAATACCAGCAGAACAAGAGGCTACCACAAATGCCAATACATAAATGAATACCTAAAGGATCAACAAATTCCATAAGTTCTCCTTTTCCAGATTGAAAATTGTGTTATTGGAACCCACCTTCATTGTAAAAGTTTCCAGCTTATTTTATTGGCACTTCTCCGAAACTAACCTCAACGACCTCTAAACGATGTAGGCGATAAACTGATAATCTTTCCATATTCCCATCAGAAATTTATACCAACTAAAAATTTTGCCGGAAGGTGGTAGTGGAGAAACAATGGATCTATTCAATCAACGTAACAATGGAAGACTTGGCCAATTTGAATACCTACCGATATTACACAATTTGTAACGATGATCTTTGAACAATAGGGAGATTTGTCTACATTATTGATTGCCTTTATCCGATATTGTCAAATAGTTTTGATAACAAAACATAACTTCAGCGAAATGATTGCGTGGGATTTGCCAATGGCAAGATTGTAAATTGTCATTATATTTTACCAAAAATCGTAATCGGGACTGATGGGTCGCAATCGGGATCGCTCGAATTCGAGTGGTAGTAGTTTTGCAAGTACAAACAAGTAAAAAAGCTGAAAGTTCGGCCGGACCGAACTCAGCATTTGAACCGAATTTGGAAATTTTCAAAAAAAAAAAATAAAATCCGTTAAAAAGTCTGTCAAAATCTTAAAAATACCGAATGTAGCCGTTATATAAGGGTCTATACGACGACATGGACCTGCATAGACAACTTTTGTCATAAACCATTACAATACTCAAATGCAAAACTTGAATAAAAAAAATTCGGTGAATAATGTAGCTAAAATCATCAAAATACTGAATATTGGGAGATACCGTTCTATCGGGGCTATACGAAGACCTGGACCTGCATAGACAATTTTTTTCAGAGGTTGTAGAACCTATTAGGAATTTCAAATACGAAATTTCAAACAATGAATATTGTACCTAAAAATCATCAAAAGACCGAACAAAGGGAGGTACTGATATATGGGGCCTATACGAAGTCCAGGATCTGCATAGACGCATTTCTGTCATAGACTGTAGTTCTCATTACGAACTCTAAATACGAAATTTGAAATAACTCTGATGAACAATGTCGCTGAAATCATCAAAATACCGAATATTGGGAGGTACCGTTATATGGAGGATATACGAAGACGTGGGTCTGCATACGCAATTTTTATACCCTACACCATAAGGTGGTCAGGATATTATGTCTTTGTGCATTTGTTTGTAACATGGAGAAGGAAGCGAGATAGACCCATAGTTACTTTTGAGGATCTCCATAGAATCACTTTCTAAGTTGATTTATGCATGTCTGTCCGTTCGTACGTCTGTCCATGTATTATTGTGAACAATATGCAGGTCGCATTTATTATCGAATTGAGATGCAATTTTGCACAAATCATTTGTTTGGTCCAAGGACGAACCCTATTAAAATTGGAGATAATCGGTAAAAATTTAGATATAGCTCCCATATATATCTTCGTCCGATTTGCTTTTTATGGTGCACCAAACGTGTAATATCAGCCCGATAAGATGGAATTTGGCACATACGACCGAATTTAGTCTAGAAGGTAGTATGCCAAATTTGGTGAAGATCGGTTCAGATATAGCTATAGCTCCCATATATATTGTTCATCCGATTTGTTGTATTTGTTACCTACAGCCGTAATATGCACTCCGTAACAACGATATTCAGGGAAATATATCAAATACAGCTCAGAAATATCTTTGCTAAATTTTATCCAGATCGGTTCAGATTTGGATATAGCTCCCATATATATCTTTATCTGATTTCAAATTAATTTTGCACCAAATGGGCAATACAAGTCCGAATTTAAAAGATACTAATGCTTTGGCATATTTAGTCCTTTGAATTTTAAATTAAAATTATAATCATTGCGTGTATGATTGAATTATCCCATAAAAACTTTTAAATATTAAGTGGAGCTCAACTAAATTAGCAAAGTGGTGTAGGGTATCATAAAGTCGGCCCCGCCCGACTTTAGGACTTTCTTTACTGGTTGAAAATGCAGTACACTTATAGTTCGAATTGCCAAAAACCCTTAAAATGTACTAAAGTTAGTACTTTTTCGTATTATGTGAACGGTTAGAGCTAAAAACTTGAAATTTGGAAAGGGAATCATGGTTAAGGAGTAGGGTCGACGTAAGAAGGTAATTTAGGAAATGTCTACTCATGTATAAAAATTTGGAGGAACTGATAAAGGTGAAATCCTAAAAGTTTAAATTAGCATTACAGGCGGAGTTTACGATTGGGGTATGGGGGTAGTTTTTGAAATTTGTACTAATGTGCACGACAAGTTCTAAATTTAGTAGTTTCGGAAATTCATATTTTTGTGTACTAATTGGTACTAAATTTTGGTGCAATTTAAGTTTTGGTAGAACCGTTAGAGTTAAAATCCTGATATTTGGAAATTAAATTTCTATTGGATATGATGTGGGTAGTTATGGAAATTCGTACTAATGTGTACTAAATGATACTAAATTTGGATTTGGAGTGCTGAAATTGGGAAATAAGATTAATATTATTTTGTAGGATTGAGGTATGTAGGAAATTTGTACTTATTTGCACCAGATGGTAATAAATTTGGTGCAAATTGGCAATGTGGTGAATCGATAGAGCTGGAATTCTGAAATTTACAAATAAGATTTATATGGAATTGTATGAAAGAGGTATGGAGATATTTTGGGAAATTTGGAGTGTAGGATTGGAGTATGTAGGAAGTTTTGAAAATGTTCTAAATTTGATAAGGCTGTAATTTCGAAATTTTGAATTGGAGTTACTGTGGGAGTGTAGGATTGGGGGATGTAGAAAGTTTTGGAAATTCGAAATTATGTGTACCAAATTTTTATAATTTGGATTAGGGTGAACCGAAAAGGCTACAATTTTGAAATTTGGAATTGGGATTACAGGGAGTGTAAGATTGGGATTGGGAGCTTTTGAAATTCGTAATTTTGTGTACCAAATGGTAAATTTGGCAAAAAATGGATTTAGGTAAACCTATAGATCTGGAGTCTTGAAATTTGGAATTATTTTTGGAAAAAATACTACAAGAGTACAAAACTTAATAAATTGTACAAAACTTAATAAATTGTACAAAACTTAGAATTGATTGTATGGATTGGTGTGTAATGTTGAGATATGGAGTGGATTTGGAATTTGTATTTATTTGCACTATTTCGTATCATGTGAAAATATGGAAAAAAACTTGAAATTTTGTATGAAAATCAAGTCTGGCAAATAGGGCAATTTTCACTTTTAGTACATACATTTTGAATGTAATTTTTATAAAGACTATTGCACCTTGATATATATGACTTATTTTGAGATTTATAGTGAAATTTTATGTAGAATATATCTTTTTTTGACACATTTTGCCTTAAACGAAATTTTATGTTACTTTCAGGCTTCAAATCGAAAAAAAGCTCAAGTATATATTTATCAAAAATAGGGAATATTTTCTGTCTTTTTCTTTGAGAATATTAATACAAATATTTTTTGATATCCAATGGAAATAGAGATTTCTATTCTTTGGCGAAATATAGTATAATTTAATGAAGAATATTTTTGCCTTTGATGTCATCCTTCTAAAATGATGCTTTGTTGGAGATTGTTGCACAAACTCACATAAAGTACGACTTTAACCCTAAAATGTGAGGTTTAATATATTTGAATTTTTGGCGTTTAGGTAAGATTCAGACTTTTCATGTCTTCTAGGACCTATAGTAGAATTTTATGTCAAATAATTTTGTGGAGTATTTTGATTTGCTACGATACCGTTTAATAAGAGTTTTTACCTTTATTTAAGGAAATGGACCAAAAATACCTCTTTCTTGGCTCGCTTGAGGGTTAAACATAATATTCCCCGCAATATTGCCGAAGACACTTTATACTTCAAATTCAAACTCAATATTCAAATGCGAAACTTGAAAAAAATGTAGCTAAAATCATGAAACCAAATATGGGGAGGTACCATTATATGGGGGGTATACGGTGACGTGGACCTGCACAGACAATTTTCTGTCATAGGCTGTAGTATCCATTACGAACATGAAATACCAATGTTCAAACAATTCCGGTGAATAATGTCGCTTAAATCATCAAAATACCGAATATCCGGAGGTACCGTTATATGGGGGCTATACGAAGACGTAGATCTGAACAGGCAATTTTCTGTCATAGGATGTAGTATCCATTACGAACATCTAATACCAAATTTGAAACAATTCCGGTGAATAATGTCGCTTAAATCACCAAACTACCGAATATAGGGAGGTACAGTTATATGGGGGCTATACCAAATCGTGGACCTACACGGCCAATTTTCCATACCAAAAATCCTGCAAAAATAATATAAATTTGAGTAAAATTTTATTAACCTACTTCATTACCTTCGGAAGCTAGAGTGATTTCTACAGGCGGCTAGACTGACGGAATGTATATTTCGAGGTGTTACAAACAGAATGACAAACCTAATATACCCTCCATACTATCGTGGAAGGTATAAAAAATTGAATTTTGTCACACAGTACAAGAGGAGAGAAATCGATGCTATAAAATTCACAGTTGAGTGGAGATTTGTTCTGGATAGAGCCATGAATCACATCGTTTAAAAAATAATGCTTTACTTGGCTCTCTTAAATTTTAATTAATTTTCGTTAATGTGCAGTTAGACTTGTGACCACACCAAAATTTCCCTTCCTTACTGGGTTACTTAGGCCCTGCTCTGAATCTTTACTACAAGGTTAAAAGATCACTAGGAATTCCTAGTAAATCTTAGCACTAAATATGACTGTCAGCTTCTGAAGCCAAACTTTTAATAGAAGAAATATTATGACGTATTAAAATGTTTTTGTTGATAACCCAAAAAAAAACTATAAAATTATAAGATAACAAGAAAAAGTATTCATAGGTGAGAACGAAACAAAAAAAGAGGTGCGACAAAACATAGCTCGACCGGGTCATTTACAATTCTTTGTTTAAAAAGAAAACAAAACAAAATCTTAAAAAGAAATTGGCCATAGCACAAAGCTATGCTCCATAGATATTGCTTGGGTAATAAAACCTAGCTACACCC